CTTTCCCGGGGGCCGGGGGGGGTCTCTCCGCCGCAGCCAGTGCGGACCTCGCCGGGTCCGTCACAAGATTCTTGTTCTTTTGCTTCTGCTTTGAAAGCATGTGCAACATTGTGCCTGCAAATACCAACTCCTTTACAAAGGTGGGTCACGGTCACAAGGGCTGTGCTGGGGAGGAGGATGTGCAATTGTGGTGGAAGGGGCTCACAGAGTCACTGTGTTTTCAGCACCCCTTGTTTGCTGGGAGACTGCAACTTTCCCTTCCTACTAGGACCTGCCGGAGAGAGGAGGGCCAGGTGTGGTGGCAGAGGCTAATGCGATAAGCAAGCCATGCTATGTTGGGGATGAGCAAACGGAGCTTCCCCTGCTTCATCCAGGTGGTCATGCGAGATACCAGTCTTCTCTGAATCCCACAGGGGATAGGGAGCGGAGGCTGACTGAATGTGTCCAGAAACCTGGACCCTATGCTGCAATGCTTTGTGCTGCAGTGACCCCAGACCACTCTCTGCTGGCTTAGCATGGACAGGTGTCCTACTGTGGAGGACAGAATAAGGCAGCTTCCCTGGAAACCTTGTGAGAAGGATGAAAGAGAACCTCTATGAGCTCTTCATGGAGATATGCATTGTGCCTGCAAATACCAACTCCTTTACAAAGGTGGGTCACGGTCACAAGGGCTGTGCTGGGGAGGAGGATGTGCAATTGTGGTGGAAGGGGCTCACAGAGTCACTGTGTTTTCAGCACCCCTTGTTTGCTGGGAGACTGCAACTTTCCCTTCCTACTAGGACCTGCCGGAGAGAGGAGGGCCAGGTGTGGTGGCAGAGGCTAATGCGATAAGCAAGCCATGCTATGTTGGGGATGAGCAAACGGAGCTTCCCCTGCTTCATCCAGGTGGTCATGCGAGATACCAGTCTTCTCTGAATCCCACAGGGGATAGGGAGCGGAGGCTGACTGAATGTGTCCAGAAACCTGGACCCTATGCTGCAATGCTTTGTGCTGCAGTGACCCCAGACCACTCTCTGCTGGCTTAGCATGGACAGGTGTCCTACTGTGGAGGACAGAATAAGGCAGCTTCCCTGGAAACCTTGTGAGAAGGATGAAAGAGAACCTCTGTGAGAGCTTCATGGGGATGTACAGGGATCTAGGGATCCCCCATTGTGCAGGCAGAGTGGCTGCCACAGATCACACCCAGTTGTCTTAAACCACTTGTAGCATGATGAAAAATGTGAACTCATTAGAAATGTCCTCCCTGAGATCCGTGCCCAGCAGCAAGATGTCCTAGGAGGAGGGGTTATCTCTAAACTTAAAAAAAGGTCCTGGCAGTCAGTGAGATTGTATTTTCTGCTCGCCTGCTGACCATTCTTCTCCTTCTTTTCTTCCTCATCCACACTGTCCTCTGTGCTGCTGCCCGAGGCTCATCGCTTGCACAGCTTTGGGACACTGGTTTGCCCCCCCCCCTGGCTTTCCATTTGCCTCCTTTGTCTTCTGGTACGCCTGCCTTTACTTTCACACAGCATTGCTGGGTGTCCCTGGTGTATCCTTTCTCCATCATGCCCTGAGCTATCTTGGCATAGATATCTTCTGCTGCTTTGGAGTTCTGCCTGAAGTGATTCCTTTCCTGACACAGCAATCAGATCCAGGATCTCTTACATGCTCCAGGCTGGAGCTTGTTTGCAACCCTGGGCATTCATGGCCAGGTGTGCTGCCTGATCTGAGGTCTATTCACCACATTGGCCACACAGGAAATGAAATTAAAATTTTCCTGTGGCTTTTCCTGTGCATCTGGAGAGTAGCAGAGTTGAAGTGCTGGCCAGAGCAATCACATTGGAGCACTGTGGCACACCTCCTGGAAGCCAAGAATGTCAACTTTCACAGCGCTGCATCTGCACTACTCTAAAGTAAGGGTAGTGCAAAGTCAACTTCCCCGTTACTCCTCTCGCCAAGCAGGAGTACTGAAATTGACTTTAACAGCCCTTAAAGTTGGCAGAATGGGCAACTTTGGTGGTGTGGACTCATTGTTTAGAAAATCGACCTAATATGATTTTCAACCTAAACCTAAATTCAACCTAAACTCATAGGTTGTGTAGACCAAGTTGTGTAGAGCTCCATACGGCCAGAGGAGTTCAGTGGTCCACCAAGGCTCTTTCTGTGGAGGGTTAGGGGGAGGAAATGGAGAGGCTTATGTCAGGCCTGCTGATTGAGGGAGTGTGTCCTTCATTTGTGAAGTGGGCTACAGCTTGGAGGCCATGTTTGAGCTTGACTGCTAATGGAGTCCCAGGGAGCAGCTGTGCTAAGTGTGATTCTTATAACAACACCTGGCAAGATAGGGGTGACCATTTCTTTTGAATGAAGAGAATTTGCTACCTGCATCTGCACCTTTGTGTCCCCTGCACTAAGCTACTCTTTGTGGGGCTGCCTCCAAAACAAACTTAGAAACAAACTGGGACTTAATTTGGCTGTCTGGATTTTTGGTGGAGCTTCATCTGCGGAGTCTTGGCTCTACATTGGTGCTTTATTCTTCACTTGTGGAATCGATTTTAAACTATAAAGCTCTAGGGCATGGCTCCACAACGGGAATTAAGCACCTAGAAAATAATTGGAAAACATGGTGATCCATAGAGTCTGAATGTGACACCCTGGGCTTCCTCTACAATGAGGGGATTGTTGGACACCTGTGACAGATCTCCAGAAGCTGGCACACTGGCTAGTGTGTATGCAGGTCCCTGCACAATGGGAGATACCGAGGAGAGGGGTATGCTGTCTGCTTAAGCCGTCTCAGGGAGCACTTAGAGTCCAGACTGTAAAGAACTACCTATTTCTGCTTGTGATCCGTAACTGGGAACCCCTCTCTTGGAGATAAGAGGCTCAAGGACACCAAGGCTACGTCTACACTGGCAGCTTCTTGCGCAAGAACTCTTTTGCGGAAGAGTTCTTGTGCAAAATCTCTTTCAGAAGAGAGGGTCTGCACTGGCATGTGCTTTTGCGCAAGAGCATCCGTGCCAGTGTAGACGTTCTCTTGCACAAGAAAGCTCTGATGGCCATTTTAACCATCGGGCTTTCTTGCACAAGAAATTCATGTTGCGTGTCTACACTGGCCTCTTGCTCAAGAACAGTTGCGCAAAAGAGCTTATTCCTCAGTGGGAGTGTTAGAGTTCTGGCACAAGAAGCCCTCATTTCATACATTAGAGTGTCAGTTTACTTGCGCAAAAACACGCAGCCAGTGTAGACAGGCAGCAAGTTTTTGCGCAAGAGTGGCCGTTTTTGCGCAATATCGCGCCAGTGAAGACAGAGCCCAGATGTTTCATGTGAGAGTTAATTAGATACCTGCCTGACTCCCCACAAAATGGCTGGAGAAGGAAGAAACAGGTGGTGACAGCTCTTATCACTTTAAGCCCTGTGGTAAGAGTACTCATGTGGGAGGTGGGAGACCAGGTTTGGTTCCCCCTGTGCATGGTGCAGAAAAAGGATTTGAACAGGGGTTTCCCACCTCTGAGGAGGGTGTGCTAACTATGGGATTTAGGATGTTCTGATGTGGATCACTCTGAATCTCTCTTGTTGAAGCCTCTTCCACTGGCCAGCTTTTGAGAGGGACGTAATCCAATAAGTGGTTTCTGAACACACCTGCCAGATTGGTCCCCACAGATGAGTAAAGTGCTTCAACACCTGTCCTCTGCCCAGTCAGGGTGGTTGTGGGGAATCAGAAGGGAGATAGGCAGCTGGACACTCAGAGGGAGGCAGCAGTGTTCATGACCAGATGCAGGAATTTAGGTGCCTAGGGACCTTGTACAGCAGAGCAGTGAGTGATTTTTAGATACCTATGGGGTTATGTAGCAGCTCAGTGGGGGCTTGGGGAATTGCCATGGCTCCTAAGACTGGGATTTAGGCTCCTGAATATATACCTTTTTACAATTATTGATAATGTTTTCTTTACCAAAAGATGCTGTTTGGATTTCACGAGCCACGCTCTTCAAATTGCTGGGGGCACTCTGTGTGGCATGCGCTGGTATAATTGGAAGCCAGTACATGAACACTTCCATCTGAGACTGGGTTCCTTTCGGGCTGGCTCCCTGCCCACAGGTGGGTGTTACATGACGCTACTCTGCACAGTTACATTTAGCAAAAGAATCTGTCCATAGCAATGTCCTATTAGCAAATCCATTTGTCTAGCGCACTGGACCCCAACCTTTTTGTGTGGTGGGCGCCGCACCGCTGGGTGACATCATCCCACTGCGTCGCCCGCCCGCCCGGCCCTGTGCCAAGTGCGCTTGCGCTGGTGCCAGACCCCCCCCCCATTTCGCCGCCCTGGACCAGCCGCCCTACTTCCCCGCTGTGCTCCCTGGCAGGTTCTCCCACTGCCGGCACTTCCCCACACCCCGTCACGGCCATCCTGCGTCGTGACCCCGACTAGGCGCACGCACATAAATGCCCCTGTGGGCGCCATGGTGCCCACGGGCACTGCACTGGGGACCACTGGTCTAGCATAGACTGCTGGAAGCTGGTTAAGTAACTCATGCTGTGTTCTAAGCAAAAAATATACTTAGCAGTTCATTAGACTTTGACTAATTACACTGTTTGCATTACTGTGGGAATCAGTCTCATGCAGGAACTCTTACACTGCAATATGCTAACATCACAGGCAGTGTTCCCTCTAATTTTTCCATCCTTGAGTCAAATGAATTTTATGTGCACCAGGGCATAAGCAGATGTGCACCACCAGTAGAAACACATGCTGCCAGCTGTGGGTTGCTGAAAAAAGCTCTGCTAATCAGCTGGGCAGCACCTGAATCTCCCCTGGGCAGCAGCCCAAGCACTCAGCTAATAGGGAACACAGATCACAGGGACACTGCCCCAATTCAGGGCCCATTTGTGGTAATGATCATTGATATGTTCTCTGGCCAGTGCCTTTATCCATGGCTTGGGGGGCAGTCTACATAGATCTTTGTTGCAGTGAGAAGGAGGTTGTCTCTTCCTCTTCCAACTCCTATTGGCCTGATTTTACTGCTGCTGTTCATGTCAAGCCCCTTTGCACTACTCAGGCAGCACAGAGAAATTCCCCCAGCATAACATAGCCAACACATATACCAAATACTTCACAATCTACCCTCTCTCGGGGCAGTGCCTAGGGTGCAGCATGTCCATGCCACATTGATTAGCAGCTGGCTCAAGGGATATGGAGACCCTATATTGTTATAGTCACGTGCCTAAAAGCCGACAAGGTCAGGGCCTTGCAGTGATGGTTGCTGTGTAAACCAAAGAATTGCAGATTGCACTGCAGCCAGTTGCTCTAAAATAGAGCAGCACCTAAGCTGCTCTTGCTCCTGCTGATAAGCTGGTGGCACTGAAGTGCTATTTGGTCCCTCCTTCAGCTGTGCCAAGGGTTTCTTAATACAGGAGAAATTCTCACTAGATTCTGAGAGTGGGAGTGTCTTAAATCTGCATCATCACCCCTCCTGCACTGCACCCAGCACAGATACAGCTTACATTAGCAGTCATCTTTTGTACTTCCTCTGCCCATCTACGGCAGACAGCTATTCCTGGAGCTAGGCTGAAATTCTCAAGGATTCTGTACCAAGTTTTGGGGAGCAGGAGGAGGCAAACATTCATTCTTGCTTCCAAACGCCAAGAGAGAAACAACCTTTGTACTCAAGCTACTGCGTTTTCCATATAGAGGAGAGGAAATGAATTGTAACCAAATACCAAAGTGTATATTCTCTATAAGCAAAACCACAGTATTCACATTAGCCACTACGGCAGCTAACATGCCTGTAACATTTGTGATTTGTTTTTTGTTAATAGTTTTACCTGTGTAGGTGTTACTTAGGACATGACCACGTGTTGTGGCATTAGATGCATGTTACCTAGAACACACTGCTATTTTTTCCTAACCTGATGTTGTAAATGAATGTTTTCATTTTTTTTCCAGATCTTCTGTCCCCCTGGAGCTCACAGGTCATCCGAAATAAAAAAAAAATCAGCACCAGTTACTCTTTAGTGTTTGTGTTAACACAAAGTTCCATAATTAAGTTTGTTGCCACCAATTTCTGTTATAAAATTCTATGTTAATCCACCAGAAACTTTGGTTTAGAAAGTTGATTTGGTATGAAAGTTACCAGAGTTGTTCTGAAGGCAAAGAAAATTATTTCTGCCAAGTGTGAAGGAAATTGAACAGTTTAATTTACAGAGCATTTAAAAAAATGATGTGAAACTTGCTGTGTCTAACAATTTCATTGGGTCTCTCTAGCTCTAAAAAAGACTTGTTATTCTTCAAATTTTCAGAGTTAAATCTCCTGGAAAATTCATGCCTTGGCTATATTGGGAGAAAATAGATTGCAATTAAACTACAGTACTAATCACCTATTGGGACCCAGTTCTGATCCCATTCCTAGCAGTGTGATGTGTTGGGTTTTAGTTTGGTTTTGGTTATTGACTGCCATGGGAACAGATGCTATTCTGTGTGTGTGAGTTAAACCCAGTTGGTGAGTTACAATTTAGAAAGAACATAAGTCTCCTTCTATAGATGAGAACTAAGCTTATCATTCTTTTACTTCATCTTTGGACAAAAGCTGTGTCTACACTGTCACTTTCAGCACTAACATTTTAATTGTTTAGGTGTGTGAAGACACCCCCCCACCCCCGAGTGACAAAAGTTTTAGGATTTGGGGTTGTTTTTTAATCACTGGGAGAGTTCTTCCCTGGTGGTAAAGTGTGACTACATTGCCCTCATCACAGTGCTGTAAGATGGGCAGTGTAGGCATAGTGGCATTCCCTGAGTTTGGAGCTTTGAGATTTGCAGCCTGTGTGTTATGTAGCTATGAAGATTTGGTCTTTTCATGGTTTAGGTGACAGTGCACTAAAAAGCTGACTTTGATCCCCTTGTAAGACATGAGTTAAAAGTTAAAAAGACAAACTCTGTTGCTCTCACATTTCTGGGAGGGAATGTCAATGACCAGAGGATATTTTCTAAAGTTTTTGAGTAAACTGAGGAAGGGTTTTTTGAAATGTAAATTATTTGAAGTGTCTGTCTCTCTTCAGTAATGTGCGGAGAGTGTCTGTTGTTGCTTTGTGTGATCATGCTAGGCCAAGAGAGGGACCATGAATGTGAAACATTAATAGGTGTTGACAGGGGTTGAAGCAAGAAACAGTTTTCAGTGTTAGGAATAGTAAAACGTTTATGAACTTGCCATTATTTGAAAATTAGACAGGAGTGTCAGTGAAGCCCAGGAGAAAAAAACTTGGCAAGAGACGTTTCATTGTCAGTTGCAGAAATAGCCCAAGTTACTCCTCAAAAGGAAACACCAATGGGGAATTTCTGGACCTTTGGAGATGGATGGGGATTCTCGCCTTTTTCATCAAAGTGCTTCCTAGGGACAACACATACTGGGTTCCAGTTGAGGTAACTGGGGAACAGAGCATGTAGATGTCTTTGAAAAGGTTACATAAGAAGTTTCAGGTAAGGCTGGGGACAGAATCCTGCTACAGATTTAAGGCTAGAAAGGAACATTCTGATAATCAAACAGGTCTCATGCATAGTACAGGCCCGCCTTTTTCATCAAAGTGCTTCCTAGGGACAACACATACTGGGTTCCAGTTGAGGTAACTGGGGAACAGAGCATGTAGATGTCTTTGAAAAGGTTACATAAGAAGTTTCAGGTAAGGCTGGGGACAGAATCCTGCTACAGATTTAAGGCTAGAAAGGAACATTCTGATAATCAAACAGGTCTCATGCATAGTACAGGCCAGAGTCTTTCACCCATTAGTCCTACAGTAAGGTGAATAATTGGTTGGAGACCCATGTTGTATTCAGTACACTACATTGCCTGTCATATCAAATCTGTGCACTTACGCCAACTATCAATTTCAGCTCATAAATCCTCCCCACGCAGTTAAGATGATTTGAGAACTACATGCAATAAAGCAATGTAAATGCTAAGCATTAAAACACAGCGTCAGTAGCTTAACTGTAATGTGGCCCTGTTGCGAGAATCACAGGTCCGATGATGCATACCCCAGGGGGGAAGGACAGAACCAGGTGGACAGTTTTAGCAAATAAAGGATATTTATTTATGACAGTGATGAATTTATAGTATTTATTCCAAGATTTCTAATAGACCGTGTTAATAATGAATTTACAGTATTTATTATATTTATTCTACGATTTCTAGTTAAGCGTGTCAGAAATATAAGGATGGGAATGGAAAGGGGAATAGTCTCTATTCTAAAAATATCCAGCTACACTAATTAATAACAATAATATGTACTACCAAAAACAACTACAACACTAAGCTTATACAACAAAGAAAATCAAATCATACATACCAACTTACACAGCACATGGAACATTTCAAAGATATTGGTTCGGTTGCAAAGGCCTTGGTTACTCCTGAGAGTCGGGGGAGGTCGCTGGTCGGTTGATCAGGCCAGCAGTGCTTTGGAGTACATAAGAACGGCCGTACTGTATCAGACCAAAGGTCCATCTAGCCCAGTAGCCTGTCTGCCGACAGTGGCCAATACTAGCCCCTGGCTAATAGCCTTTTATGGACCTAACCTCCATGAAATTATCTAGCTTCTCTTTAAACACTGTTATAGTCCTAGCCTTCACAGCCTCCTCTGGCAAGGAGTTCCACAGGTTGACTACATGCTGTGTGAAGAAGAACTTTCTTTTATTAGTTTTAAACCTGCTACCCATTAATTTCGTTCCAAAGACCTAAGAGGTGAGTAGCACTTAGCCTTAGATTTTTATCACTGGGTAGGGGAATGCTAATTTTAATTAGGCAATGTCAAAGTTGAGCAGAAGCTTTTACCAAATCAGATGCAGACCCCCTCGCTTGTGTCCAGTTTCCTTCTAATTTTTTCCCCATCCATATACGGAATGCATTTTGTTATGCATATCACCCCTCAGTCTCCTCTTTTCTAAACTGAAAAGTCCCAGTCGCTTTAACCTCTTTTCATATGGGACCCGTTCCAAACCTCTAATCATTGTAGTTGCCCTTTTCTGAACCCTTTCCAAGGCCAAAATATCTTTTTTGAGGTGAGGGGACCACATCTGTACACAGTATTCAAGATGTGGGCGTACCATAGTTTTATACAGGGGCAGTAAGATATTCTG